TCAACAGAGATAGAAACTGAAAAAGGCAGAAGCGGAGACGAGGCAGGGGAGTAACAGGAAAGGAGGGCAGGGGTGGGAAAAGTAACTCTGGAATTGAAAATTTCAATAATTACAATAAAAAAATCACTAAAGGGATAACAATACATCTGATTAGGTATAAAAAAAAGAGTCAGTGAACGTAAAGATGGGAAAATTGAAATGATGAACTCTGAGTAACAGAAAGCAAAAAGAAGAAAGGAACCTGAACACAGCCTAAGCCATCCATGGACCACCATCAAACAGAGAATCATATGCATATGGGAAATCCAGAAGGAGGAGAGAGAAAAGAAATGTAATCTTAACTACTCAGGAAACGAAGGCAGGAGTATCTCACAAGTTCAAACCCAGGCTGAGCTTCAGAGTGAGTTCAGAGTCAGCTCTAGCAACTTGGTGAGACCTATCTCAAAGTAAAAAGTACAATAGAGGCCTGGAGATATATGTATGTATCTGAGTTAAGCAGATAGCCACTCAGGAGACAAATGTAATCAAGATGTTTTACAAAGTAAATTGCAAGTGAATTATAAATCCAGATATTAATGGCAAAACAACATAGTTTCTAGGATATAATGTATATAATCTTCATGACATTATAAAGTAGGACTTTGGGGCATGGGGTTCAACTCAGGGTTTCTCTGTGTAGCTACATTTTTACGATATGGCTGTTTTGCCTGCATGTGAGTCTGGTGCCCTCGATGGTTGTGAGCCATCATGTGGATGCTGGGAATTGAACCCAGGTCCTCTGGAAGAACAGCTAGTGCTCTTAACCACTAAGCCATCTCTCCAGCCCGGGGAAACATTTTTTTTTTGTTTTGTTTTTGTTTTTCGAAACAGGGTTTCTCTGCGTAGCTTTGCGCCTTTCCTGGAGCTCACTTGGTAGCCCAGGCTGGCCTCGAACTCACAGAGATCTGCCTGGCTCTGCCTCCCGAGTGCTGGGATTAAAGGCATGCGCCACCACCGCCTGGCCCAGGGAAACTTTTTAAGAGAATAAAATAAAATGAAGAAAAACATTGATAAAATTTCTTTTGATTGAGAGGCATTTCTTGGCTGAGCATGATGTTGTCCATATGCAATCCCAGCACTCAGAAGACTGAGACAAGAGGATACCAAATTTGAGTTCCAGGCCCATTTGGACTACAGAGTGAAGCTCTGTCTCGAATGGAATGGAAGAGAGGGTCTGGAGCGATGGCTGAGTAGTTAGGAGCACTGACTGTTTTTAAAGACAATTAATGTTTGGTAGCCAGAAGCCACATGGTGTCTCACAACCATCAGATGATGACCTCTTCTGGTGTCTATGGGCACCATGCACTCTCAGTGCACAGACATATATGCAAGCAAAAGTCCATGCACATATATGCACAAAAAATTTGCTAAATGAGAGAGTCTTCTATATCAAGATAGAGATATCATTATGTACGTGAAAATCAAGCAACACAACCTAATATCAGTATTTGATAAAAGAAAAGATATAAAAGTACTCATATCTTCAAGATTTAACTATGCTTTATAGTTATTATATTATAGTGTCTTTGTTTAAAATGCACAGATTGACAACGTATGTATTATATCTTGGATAAGAGGACTGGCCAAAATATTTTATAATACTCAAATGTGCTGATTAGCACATTTATTGTAATGCTTCCTGAGGAAAAAATGGTATATATGAGTACTTCAATTGCTGACTCCAAAATTTTGGTCCAGACCACTTTTACAAACTAAATAATTTTCAAAGCCCAAAGTATAGGGTATCCTATCTTGTGGTCCTTATAGAACCCTTTATAATGGACCCATAATGTGGTAGAAGGAGGGGCCCCTAGAGGGCTGTGAGAAAGAAAAACAAGAAACAGCCATGTGGTCTGGTCATTGTCCAGCACGGTCGTATGTGCAAGCTGTCACGTACTCGACTAACCATGTATCTCCCCTGCAGCCCCCTGCCTTTTCCCACCCTTCTCATTCTAGCAATCACTGCCTCCCAGTCTGAAATACCCAAATCACAGTGTATTTAACTAGAAGACAAAGAAACAAAAAATGTATAAAAGTCACAGTCTTTGGATACTGAAGGGTTCGGCCTTTTGGAACTGATATCCCTGGGCCTTGTTATATACATACAATAAAACTGTTAGCCATAACACAGCTTGGATGTCTTTTCCCTTGGTTTCCCACAGCAATAGCATTATTGTGAGCATAATGGCATCTCCTACCTACTTCAATTTATGTGCCATCCTAGACCCATTTGACTCTACATCTAATCTAGAGCCTGATTAACTGCTTTATATTCTGACTAGAAGAAAGAAAACAAAGAGTCATCCTGCTTGTACATTCCTAGGGTGCAAGGCATTGCCACCCTGCTTCCAGCTACAACCTGAGTAGTCACATGACGTAGTGTCACCTAACTGATAACGGAGGCACAAAACTAGCACGAACTCACCCATGGACATACGAGAGAAAATGTCCTGTAAGGCAGATTTTGACCCAGAGAGCAGCTGCTTGTGGAAGCTGACAGAGGGTTAGGAACTTGACTCAATGGCAGAATGCTTGTCTGCCATCTCAAAAGCCCTGGTTTTGATCTCTAGGACCACATATAATAAACACACAGCAGTTTTACATTCCCTCTACTGACACTGTTCTTGGAAACCACAATCGAATCAACTGTTTCCAAAGATTATGTCTAGATGGTGACTAACTCTTGGCTTTGCTTTTCATCTACCATAGTGCCCCTTTTTCTTACTCATGTTTCCTCATATTACATATCCCACCAAAGTGTCATCAGGTAAGGGTTTGTTCCTGGCTCTATTTTCTAGTCCTGAGCTAAGAAACCACTGGACTTTTCATTTTTAATGAAATGAGCTCTGTGGTAAAAGGTAGAACTTCACTGTCCCTCCAAGGTAGCAAACATAAAAATAATGTTTCTATTATAGAATAGAGTAACATGTCATAAATAGCCAAAGCCTGATGAAATATAAAAAGCCCGTCCATAAAGTAAGCCCTTTGTCTGAGAAATTGTATTGAAAACAGATGTTTATTATGTAATATACATGTTTGGATATTACCAAGATTTTATTTTTTTACATTTATTTATTTATTTTATGTGTATGAATATTTTACCTACATGTATGTCTGTGCATCATGGGTATGCCTGGTGTCCCTGGAGGCCAGAAGAGGGTATTGGGTCTCCTGGGACTGAAGTTAGAGATGGTTGTAAGCCATCATATGGATATTGGGAATCAAACCTGTGTCCTCTGGAAGAAAAGCCAGTGTTTCTAACCACTGAGCTTTCTCTCCAGCCCCATAACAAGTATTTTAACTAAAAATATTAAATTTATGAAAATTGTATATAAAATTATATATTTTTATTAAAGTATAAATAATTTATTTATAGATTATAAATAATATTTCAATAACTTATTTATAAATTATAAAATGACATTTTAATAATTTATGAAATATTTTATCAGATGATAAAATTTATAAAAATAATAATATATTTTATGGGAATCTATAGTACAACCAAAACCCAGAAGCCATAAAGAGAAAATAAGGAAACGTCAATCACTAAACACTTTTTCAGAAAAAAAAAAAAAAAGACAACACTAAATGAAGTAGATCTCCACCAAGCCTCTTGCTTTGATGGGAGCAATATCTATCCAAATTGCCCAAATTCCAGATCGTTAAATAAACAACCCTCTATGAAGACCTTGATTGCAATCTACATTGATATTAGGGAGAAAATGTTCTAAGCAGGAAACATTAAGAATCTGTTGTGTTTATTAATTCTATTTCTCACAGTAATAAATTATCATTCTGGATTTTGTTTTCAAAAGGAAGTCCCACTTTATTTGATAACATGTTATATGGTCTGCAAGCTCAGCAAGGCTCAGTAAATGAGGAGCTGCAAGCTCAGACAAAGCTACCTTTATTAGAGCTCCTCTTTGACCTTTCAGGATGTCACTGGTCAGCCCACTCTCAATAGGGGATCAACTTACATTTGCATGAACCTATGCAGACAAAGTTCCCCCTCCATCAGGGCTTCCATCCCTTGCCTTCCCTCCCAGTCCTCCCACAGCCCTCTTCAAGTACACACATGGCCCAGGCTCTCAACACAGGCCTGACAAGGCCCCAATGGAGAGGGTGAAACACTCTCAGTTGTAAATACCCTTCCCTGCCCCCACCTTGTCCTCAGCCTGAGCACACAGGAGACCTAACAACAGAGCTGACACTGCTCTGGGCTAAAGGCAAGGAAGAGCCACAACTTAGAAAGACAAAGCAGGGACAAACTTCAGCCTGGGATGTGGTGTAAACATAATGTAAATAGCCAGCATGGAAAAATAGTCTTATGTTAGCGCTATGTTCAAAGCCACTCTCAAGAGAACCTAGCAAAACCAGAGAGTCAAGAACTTGAAATGCATGTTACCTACATCAGCTGCCTACCCCACACTGGAGTTTCTTTTGAAACAAGGCAGATGAAATATGAATTGAAGAAAGAAAGCCTGTTTCCTGAGCCTTGAAAAGTTATGCTTTGTGGGGGGTGGAGACGATTTAACCAACTGAGACCCATTATTAGAAAATTATCTTTGAGTACATTGAGATTGACACAGATCCTAAAACTGTTTGATGGGAAAAATCAAAACAGCAGGATATCCTCTGCGTCTCTAACATCCTCCCTAAAAGAGAAGAAGCTAACTTCTCCCTGACCTGACCCCTGAGCTCTGCAAACTGTCACAGGCCAGGATGCTGCTCTTCTGAAAATGATTGAGAGCTGCATCCTTCCAGGGAAACACTGGGACACGAAGAGGTGGCCTGGCCATGCCCCACACTAGTCTCACCAAGCACTTGTTGGATCCAGCTTATCCTATCATCAACCTAAATAAAAAAATCAAAACAAACGGAAGAATACTGATTCTTATATATATATATATATATTGTCTCTCCAAATAGATCATGAACCCAAGGACAAAAACAGTGTCTTTTTCTACTGCTTAAACATAACTTTATTGATAAAGCACAACTCTTAGATGAACAAATTTAAATCAATACAAAAGTATAGCTTATTTATGACATATAGTTACTTCACTGTCAGTTTAGGTAAACAAAAATATCTCCACCTAGGTAGAAAGTTGAATGAATAAATGTTTTCTTTATGCAAGCTCTAATATGTATTTGGCATATTTAAAAAGGCTCAGTCTAAAGCCAGCATCAATGGCCATTGATAATCTGTGATTCATTTTTCCTAAATAGCAGCCCAAAAGATCTCTTTGCCACACAAGCGCAATGAAAACCAAAGAAGTTATGAAACACATTGTTCCCACATGCAAACTTAAGAAACATTACTTAAGCATTGTTTGGAACAGATCTCAAGTTACAGTTTTGTTAATACTTTCAGAACTTTCACTTTGACCACCAGATCCTTATGATTCGCTAACGCTCTGATCTTCTTAACACATACTCCAGATTCTTTGAATAAAAAAAACAGTGAGCTTCTGCTGAATTCTCTCCTGGATGAGGCAAGCCCTTCACTTTTTATGTTGTCATTTATATTTTCAAAAAGAGTAAGGATGTTAAGAAGAATCTCTCTATCCCATTCTTTATTAAAGAGGGAAATCAGTTCTGATGGTACTTTACAACTGACCAGCTCTCTTGTCATGGCTGGATTTTCAGTAAAGTTTATAATTAGTTTCATAGTCTGTATCTTGGTGAAGTGATTTCCCAGAAATAACAAAGCAAAAAAGTCTGGAAAAGAATAGGAAAGCAAATGTTGGTAATGATTAGTCACGGTCATGTTGGTTAACAGCCTTAATCCAGCCATCTGCACGGCTGAGTCCAAGCGACAAATCATGGTATCGTCACACACTTGACTAATGTAAGTCTTAATCTTGCCCTGATTTTCAGAATTAACGCTCAAGTTATTAAGGGCATTGTAAGTCTTTTCCCTAATAATGGGGTCTCTCGTTTTTATCAGTTTTGCAATAATTGGGACACCACCCAATTCACGTATGGCATTTTGATTAAATGAATATGCTGCATTGTTACCCAGTGTGACCAAGGCTACCTCCTGAGTAAAAGGGTCATTTGTTCTCTCCAAGATGTTAAGGACCTTTTGAAGGTCAGGGGCACTCAGAATATCATCAATTTTATAGGGAAAGCTGAACTTGCCCCTGCGTACAGGCCATGCTGTGGCTGGAGCCTTGGTGCTCTTACTTCGATTCTTTCTCTTGACCTTGCCGCTTGCCCTGCTCCTAGCCCTAGAGCCCCGCCTGCCGCCGGGGTGGCAGCCTCCCCCCCTGCCTCCTGGGCAGGGCAAACTCGATGTCAGGGTCCTGCTCCCAGATATATTAGCAAACCTGATCCCTCTGCCTGCCTTTGCACTTGCCTGTTCCTTTAGGATCTTGAAAAGGGCCTTAGCCTTAGCTTCTAGGCCACCTCCACCCTGGGACTCTGGCTGCCCTTCCTTCTTTACACCTGGACCATTCTCAGGTCCCACCTTTACATCAGCCTTGGCCTTTGAATCCTCTTGAGGTTTGGCTCCTGCCCCCACCCCAACATTAGTCTTCACTCCTTTCTCAGTTTTGCCCCCAATTTCTGGTTTGTCGCTACAAGCCTCTTCCCCCACTTCCTCCTCCTCCTCTTCCTCCTCTTCTTCATCATCCCAGAGTTTCTCATCTTTTCCCCAGGTCAGTCTGTATACACAGTAGCAGGCACCAGCCCCGATGACCATGCCTGCCGCCACACATCCAGCTTCCCGGGTGCGGCCCATGATGCAGCTGGGGTGAATCCCTTAACCAGGACACAAAGCTGGCTTGCTCTGGTCCAGAAAACTCCCAGGTCAGGAGCAAATTCTTCAGACTTTGCAGGTAGGAGCAGCTACAACAGCAGACGCAGTGAGACCTAGAGGGAAAAAAAAAAAAGATTTTAAACTTTTGACTTCTCCAATTGTGTCTTCGTACATAAGTAGACTGAATCACTTGCCTACAAGCATACAAACATACAGAGACATTGGCTAGCACTTGGGACTTGGTATCCTTATCATTATTCCTTTCCTTTATCTGGAAGAAACTTCAGAAGTTTTCCAAACACCCAGATTCTCCAACCTTATGTTCTGCCCCCCATCCCTAGAATGTTAAATTGAATGAATTTATATGTTGCCTATGATCTTTACCCTTCCAGACGTCCTGAGTCAGGGTCACCCTCACATACACCCTCAGAGAGGCAAGTAGTCCTTCCTCCTTTCCAGCCTCTTGCAGATCTGCAAACAAAAGAATACAGAGGTTTGATCTGAGAGTTCAAGAACCAGATAAATCACACCCAACACGGGCTATATACCCATCTTCTGAATTTCCAGGCCCTTGCCCTTCACTGCAGTGTTTCTGACCTTCTGTTAGCTTCCTCACTGCACAGGGATGTGGCATTATCTCCCTTCCCCTCTGCCTTGGATGATCAGTCTCCTGGCGCCCCCACAACTCTATCTGTCACTTCTTCCAAAGATGACACTACACACCCTTTCTTGTAAAGAAATGGACAGAGGTCCCTAGAAGTCAGATAGAATTTAAGTACATCTGCACTTGCTTCTGCCACCCGACTGTCTTAAAGACAGCCTCTCAACTCTATTGAACAGTTAGATAGATTTCCACGGCTCTGCGAGATTTCTTTCCTCCCTCCTCTCAGTTCCTAACTTCACCAAACTTCAGGACTACCAAACTGGGTGCCTATTAGACTAACACCAAGGACACTGCACCATACAGTATTAAAAAAAAAATGTCACCCCATCTCCAACCCAGCACTCTCTACAGCTATCTTCACCTAACTATCTCCTTCTTGGTTTCTCATCTGCAAAATGTTTCCTTTTGTAAGCTCAGGACCAAAGAAAGAGACCGGAAAGGGTGATGGAGAGAGAAAGTCTCTGAGTCCACTCGAGTTCATTGTCACCATTACCGTCTACTCCAGTGACACCCCCCCCTCACCCCAAACAGTGTCATCACACTTTTTCTGACCTACTTGATTCTGGATTGTTGTTCCTCCCTCTCCTGCTCTTCGGTTTGGACTCGTCTTCAGGAGCAAGATTCACAGATGCAGCGCCTAAACAGAGACAGAACACAAAACATAGATCGTCTAAATGCCCGTTTTCCCAAATCTGGGGAGCTAGTTGGTCATTCGGATTTCATGTTTTTATTGCTCACCCTATCCCCAGTTCTCTGGGCTCCACTGACACTTCCCTGGGGCTATATTACTACATCCTGGCACTCCTTTCTGCAGTGGCCGGCCATTTTCCCTGCAAAAACCACACCCCTTTGGAAGTGCAGGGTTGGAGGCTGGCCTAGCGAGTACGGAAAACTGGAGCTGTGGAAGATAACAGATCTCTTCTGTTCTCCCCACCCCAGCCCACCCCCAAAGATAGCCATTTTTTTTTCCTGTGGAACTATGAGAGTTGCCCTTTTTTTCCTGAGACGGGGACAGGGGAGAACAGACACATAGATTGCTAAAGAGTCAATAATGGTCCCGAGTTATGGTAAAGCCCTAAGCCATCACCACCTATCTGCGGTCCTCCGGCAATCTCAGCTTTTGACGGGCATGCAGAAATTCGATGTCGATTACTCCTTTGCTTGAAAAGGTACTGCGCCCTCCTGAATGACAGAGGATAACAGTCTCACTACTTCAAAATTCTGCCTTCGAAGATGCATCCATGCACCAATCCATAATATTTACCCCTCCGGATTCAGGGCATGCCAAAGACTCCCCGCCCCCAAACCCTAATCTGGGGTCTCCCCTGGAATCTCTCCCTGCAATGTCCATCGGTTTTTTGGGTTTGTTTGGTTTGGTTTGGTTTTTGTTCTAAGAGGGTCCGAAGACATTGCGAGTGCTGGAAGAGAGCAGACTGTATGGCTGGCATCTCCGCTAACCGCTACTCATAAGACAACAATCCCCAGGCATACCGCACCCACAACACAGACCTGCGGGGGTCCAAGCAATTACCTTCTCCTCCTCCTTCCGCAGCAGGCCTGCCCGCTCTCAGCAACAACACAGAGAGAGCAAACACCAAATGTAGACCCGAATCAGAACGACGCCTGCACACGTCGGCTTCAGCTCACGTGAGGGTCACGTCACTAGTGAGATCAGGACTCCGACTACACGCTGCGACAGGAGGCAGCCTTTCCCAGTCCTTCCCCGGCACACCAGGTCCTGCCGCTATCCATTTCCTCTTTGTTAGTCCCCAAACCAGAAGGAGCTTCTTTTGTGGTTGGAATTTGCCTTTCTATGCTTATCACAGAGCCTGCACGGGCCTTTCTTCCTCTTCTAGGAATAATCCTGGCGTTTCTTTATTCCCTCCCCAGATGCTTTTCCCTTCTTCCCTTCCCCTTTCAGCTGGGGGAAATCCAGCACTTCCCATGCACTCCTCCACCAGACAGCATTTCAGAAAAGGAGACACGGAGTGGAATTACGTTTCTTAAAATGTTCTGCCCACTTGTTAAAAAATCAGCTTTACTTTTACACTGAGGACATAAAATTATGTTTTTCATTTGTGTGGAGAAAATTTTAAGTAGAAGAGGAAAACCCAGTGGACCTTTATCATTTTTGCATTTATCACACAAAAATATTTCTACTGATTGCAGGCAAACAGTTGCTTTCAAAATACGCTAATTTGTTTTTAAAATTGAAAGCTGGAATTTGTGCATGAATACGCTAAGAAAAGATGGTCCGTTGTCTGATTTGGACCATTTTATACAAACTGCTCGTTTATTTATTTTTTCTCCTTTTGCCTCAACTTGCAATTTGGTAAAATAAAAGCAACACAATCAGTCCTAACTTATTTAATTAAAGTAAGACATGTAGTTAAGTACCCAGAGTCTTTACTGATTGCTACAGGAAAGATTTGATGGCTGCTCTAAACACCTGCTCCGGGATTAGATTCCCGCCTACTAAAGCTGAGACAGCTGAGAGCCAGAAGATGGAATGGTCCCATTCTCCTTGCCCTACCAAGAAGTGAGGAATGTGCTGCCCTCCTACATTCCAGAGCCCTCCTTTCATTCCCTGTAGTCAGGCAGCTGTTTGTTGCTCAGTCCAAACACACACACACACACACACACACACACACACACACACGCACGCACGCACGCACACACGCATGCACGCATATGGGTAACCACAATAATATATGCCCCCTTTATTCAGATGACAAACCTAAGTAAATATCTTTGGTTCCTTTATGCCTTTCCCCAAATTCCCAAGAAGTATCTACGCATTGCTTAGAAGAGCTTACTAGTTCCACCTCCCTCTCTGCCCTTGTTCATGGCACTCTTGATCCTGTTGCTATCAGTGCCCGAGAAGAGCTTGCCAGGCCTCTCTGGCCTCCTGAACTCCAGGACATCCAGGAAGAACCTAAGCTTATTTCAGGGTCACTGCCAACAAGTTCACACTCACATTGATGACCCCTCAGTCAAGCGTGCTCTCAGGCCTACTGACAACCCTGACCACACTTAACCTAGGGCAGGCATTTTCACCTGGCCAACTGTTGCCTGAAACTGTGTTCAGACTGTGTGCATACACATGCTCATTTTAACAGAGAAAAGAATCAGAACTCTTACCAGACCCTTACAGAATTATAGACAACTGAAAAAGCCCTAAACCCAATCACTCAGAAAAATATAGATCTATACCCCTCATAGACTTGTTCATTCTATGTACAAAAAATATAGAGAAGTGCCTGTGATGCCTTTGCGATCATCATCCACTTCTAACAATTTCGTTCCTTGTGCAAATACAAAAAAATTGAACGGCCTGCAGATAAAAAGTTAACCTTTGATGCAATACTTCCAATAAACCTGCATTTTAATTTAAGAACTGATATCTTTTTTAAATGGAGCCTTTCTGTAAGAGATTAATATCAAGGAAACATAAGGAACTCAAACAATTCAGCAATAGGGCGGAATAAAACAAATAATGCAATTGTTTAAATGGACAAAGGATCTGAACAGACCTTTTTATTAAAAAAAAAGATTGAACTATCCAACAGATTATATGAAAAATGCTCAATATCAAGCTGAGACATCACCTCATTTTAAGTATGAATGGCTATTATCAAAAAGACAAAAACAAGTGTTGGCGAGGATGTTGAGAAATTGAAACCCTGACAAACTCTACTGACAAAACATAAAAGAGTGCAACAGTTATGGAAACACTCAAATGCAATTAAATAAATATTGTCCTAGTTATGTTTCTACTGTTGTGCTAAAACACGGACTAAAAGCAGCTTGAGGAAGAAAGGGTTGATTTTGTTTTACAGTTTTCAGGGAATCGAGGAAAGCTAAGACAGGAGCTCAAGACAGGAACCTGGAGGCAAGAACTGACGGAAGCGGAGAACATGGAGGAGTGCTGCTTTCTGGCTTGCTCTCCATGGTGCTGTGGATCCTTCCACCACCATGGAGAGTATCAAGTAATCAAGAAAATATCCTCAGAGACTTGCCTGTAACACAGTTCTCAGTTGAGGTCCCCTCTTTCCAAATATGTCTAATTTGTGTCAAGTTGACAAAAATGACTAGCCAGCACACTTATGCTCTAGTGGTTTCATACATCATGCATGTACACACACACACACACACACACACACACACACACACACACACACACGGGGGAGAGAGAGAAATTCCAAAGAGATACCTGCACTCTGGTGTTCATTGGAGCGTCATTCACATTAGCCAAAATATAGAAACAACTAACAGATGAATGAGAAAAGAAAATGTAGAATATACATGATAGAATGGTATTCAGCCTTAGAGAAAGAAGGAGCCCTTGCCATATGTGATGCTATGAAGCTCTTAGAAAGATCATGTTAGGGGAAACAAGCTCCCTACAGGACAGACCAATAGTGTGAAATTCCACTCCTAGGCAGTATCTACAATCGTCAAACTCACAGGCTCCAACGTAAGGAGTTGTTCTTGAATAGGTAAAAAGTTTCAGTTACACAACGTGAACAAGTTTTAGAGATCTACTGAACAACATTGTGCCTAAAAAGAACAAAACTGAAAATCATGGACAGTACATCATGGATAATGACTTATTCAAGAAACTGTGAGAAGCTGACCAGAAGACTTACAATCAAAGGAAATACATTCATCTTATATCACATTTGGCAAAATAAATGTGAATTTCATACATCACAAGTTAAAATAAAATGACTAACATGGATTTTGTAATTTTCTCCCAAGCTTTGTTTATTTTTACATTAGCTGATTAGCTACTAGTCTAAATGGCTGTAATCTGCTGCATTCCCAAGGACTATTATATGTACACTTCAATGTTATGCTACTTAGAAAGTTTCCTGTTATATATTCTTATTGAGTCATAATATTTTAAAATATAAAATATTTGTACTATTTAATGCATTTTGCTTAATTTATCTAAAATTAATCATAACAATTCTAACTATTTAAATTCTCATGTTTTTTTATCTTTTCCCATTTCTTCATTTTCAGTCTTTCTACGTCTATTTGTTATATGTGTTTTATAAAGCATAGTTTAGTTTCTTATAAAGTCAAACTGAAAGTCCTTGTATTTTAATTCAGCCATCCATATTAATTATAATTGCATATTTGAGGCCTTATCCCTGACATCTTATGTTGTGTTTTCTATACGTTTCCTATTTTGTGTAATTTTTTTGTTGTTGCATCTTTTGGGGGTCTTCCTGACATGTTTTTCTCTTTTGCCACTGGAAAATTCTACAGCACAGTGCAATTTTACTGGTAGCTACAATTATATACGTGTGTGTGTATGTGAGATGTATATATCTATATTATATTTATTTATTTATTTATTATAGTGTTCTGCCTGCATGTATGCTTGGACACCAGAAGAGGGCACCAGATCTCATTATAGATGATTGTGAGCCGCCACATGACTGGGAATTGAACTCAGGACTTCTGGAAGAACAGTCAAGTGTTCTTAACCTCTGAGTCATCTCTCCAGACTGTTTTTTGGGGGTTTTCAAGCCAGGATTTCTCTGTATAGCCTTGGCTGTTCTGGAAATCGATCTGTAGACCAGGCTGGCCTCAAACTCACAGAGATCCTTCTTCCTCTGCCTCCTGAGTGATGGGATTAAAGGCATGTGCCACTGCCACCCAGCAACAATTATATTTTCATCAAGCATCTAAACATATTTTCTTCCAATATCAAAATTTAATCACTCTCAATAACCACCCCAACCTCCACAAATATATGATTTTTTTTAAAGATTTGTTTTTATTATTTTTAAGTGTGTGTGTGTGTGTGTGTGTGTGTGTGTGTGTGTGTGTGTGTGTGTGTGTGTGTGACTGCAGGTGCCCTCAGAGGTCAGAGGTCTCTGATATCCCTGGAGCTAGAGTTACAAATGATCGTGACTGCCAGGCGGTGGTGGTGGTGCACACCTTTCATCCCAGTGCTCGGGAGGCAGAGGCAGGCGGATCTCTATGAGTTTGAGGCCAGCCTTAGCTACAGAGTGAGTTTCAGGAAAGGCACAAAGCTATAGAGAAACCCTGTCTCAAAAAAACCAAACAAACAAATTACAAATGACTGTGAGTGGCCAGATATGGTTCTGGAAACTGAACTCAGGTATCTGCAAGAGCAGTAGGTGCTCTTGATTGCTGAGCCATCTCTCCAGTACAAGATATCTTTTATTATGCTTTCATTTGCATCCTAATTCCAATTCCAAATGTGTTTCTATCATCTTGGTTATAGAGGTATAATAATATTACTATATTATTGTAGTATATCACTATAATTTTAGAAGTTCTTTCTCAACAATTGCATCAAGCTTCATAGAATATTGCTGTACTGGCTGGTTTTGTGGGCCAACTTGACACAAGTTAGAATCATCAGAGAGGAAGGAGCTTCAGTTGAGGTAATGCCTCCATGAGATTCAGCTCTAAGGCATTTTCTCCAATACTGATCAACTGGGGAAGGCCCAGCCTATTATGGGTAGTTTCACCCCTGGGTTGGTGGTCCTGGCTTCTATAAGAAAGCAGGCTGAGCAAGCCATGATGAGCAAACCAGTGTGCAGCATTGCTCCATAGCCTCTGCATCAGCTCCTGCCTTCAGGTTCCTGCCCTACTTGAGTTCCTGCCCTCACTG